GACCCATGAAATTCACACTGGGTCCCTTTGAGCCTTGTGTCCCTCCTGGGCATGAGTCTCAAGTGTTGTGATGGTCTGCTCACACGACTGCCTTCTCCACCAGACAGTGGGCGCCGGGAGGGCAGGGGCGTGTCTTACATTGTCAGAACAGGCAAGCAGTAAGCATTTGCTAAATAAATAAATGCTTATAAATAAAAAAAACAGTTAGCATTGATTGCTAGTTAGTGATAGTTAGCAATCCTCACCCAGGGCCAGGCACTGTACTGAGCTCTTGTGACACAGACACATTGATAGTATCCCCATTTTACAGAAGAGGACATCAAGGCAATGAAAGGTTAAACTTGCCCACGTTAAACTTGGGATGTCTGCATTCCAAGCCTGCTCTCTGAACCACTGGCCCAGAATGTCACCACAGAAGGTGGTGCAGCTGGTGGAGGTATGAAGAGGCTGAGTCCAGGAGGAACACCCTCCCGTAGACAAGGGGCAAGCAGGCTATGTCAGCCCATGAGTTCTGGCCCATGGATCGGTGCCCTCAGGAGCTGCAGCGCTGCCCCAGCCTCCCTTCTGAGTGCACGGCCAGTTCAGGCCATTCCTCCACATGGGCAGCAAACACTGAGCCAGATTCTGTGCTCAGGGTGTTGGTGACAATGATGGCTAATCGGAGCTTACATCTACTGAGTGCCAGCTCACTGCAACCTCCACCTCCCGGGTTCAAGCAATTCTCTTGCCTCAGCCTCCCGAGTAGCTGGGATTACAGGCACACACTACCATGCCTGGCTAATTTTTTTGTATTTTTAGTAGAGACAGGGTTTCACCATGTTGGCCAGGCTGGTCTCAAACTCCTGACCTCAGGGGATCCACCCGCCTTGGCCTCCCAAAGTGCTGGGATTACAGGCGTTCATCACTGCACCCAGCCAAAAGATTAGAATTTTATCAGGCAGAGAAAAAAGGAAAGGCGTTCCAGGCTGAGGCACAGGCTGAGTAAGGGCTCAGGAATAGGAGAGGCCTTGGGGGGAAGCCCTAGGAGTGCAAGTGAGGCCTGCAGGAGATCTGCGTCTGCAACCACTGGGGAGCCGGTGATTTAAGATTGGGAAGCTGCAGTCTGGCAGTCACTCGATGAACGTTTATTGAGCATTTATTAGGAGCCAGGCACTGTAATAGGTGTGGGGGACGGAGGTGACTAAGGCACAGTCACCCACAAGAGTCTGGCCAAATCTCTGCATGCCTAAGACTGTCCCCCTCGGTCAGGGGCCCACGTTGTGTTCCTGGCACCCTGGCTGACCCACTTTGTAACCTGGATACCACGCCTGCACTCCTTGGAGTAGCCTTCTTCCATAAAATGAGCTTAACTGCGCTTGTCACCTGGTGCAGAACTCTTTGAGCTCTCGGGATGAAAGATTGTGTAAAAACGGAGCCTTTGTCACCAGACTGGGTGGGGTGGAATAGGGAGCCCACATCAGATCCCCAAGGGTGCAGAGAAACAGCCCCTAGGAGTTGGAGGGAGGGTTGCCAAGCTCCCCTGAGGTTACCACCCTCTGACAGCTGCCAAGCGTGTTCCTACAGCCAGAATGCCTGACATGAAAGTCCCCCGCCCCCGCCAAGGCCTGCCTGTGATGGTTAAATGACAGACGCCGACACCCTGGCTGCTGACTGATGCTGACAGCAGGGAGGGACGTGGAGGTGGCCTGGGTTGCAGGCAGGTGTCTGGAGGCTCTTCCTTCACTCTTGTGTTCATAGGACGCTGAGCACCCACCACGACCTGTCACTGTCCAGTGTCCATGGGGGAGGCAGACAGGCACACAGCACAGTCCACCATCACGTGGGGTGTTAGAGGGGAGGCCCTGCTCTCTGGCAGCACAGGGAAGCCCACCTGACAGAGGATGGGTACAGGACAAACCAAGGGCCCAACCTCCTCCCTTCTCCCCGCAAAGATCATGGTGACAAAACCCCTTTGTGATGAAGTAGTTCAGATGTCCTTTCCTCAGGTGACCCTCACGCAAGAGGAAATGAAAGCCAGAGAGCCCCGTTGACTTGTCCAAGGCCACAGAGCCCATCGGTGTGGCACGCAGGCCAGTTATCATTATTCCGATTCCTTGGCTTGTGGCTTCATCACTCTAATCTCCGCCTCCGTGGTTACGTTGCCCTTTCCTGTCTTCTCTGCCTCTCTTTGGTTTTTTGTTTGTTTTGAAACAGTCTTGCTCTGTCACCCAGGCTGGAGTGTGGTGGCTTGATCTTGGCTCCCTGTGACCTTGACTTCCCAGGCTCAAGCTATCCTCTCACCTCAGCCTCCTGAGTAGCTAAGACTACAGGCACACACCACCATGCCTAGCTAATTTTTTGTTTTTGTTTTTCTTTTTTAGAGATAGGGTCTCACTATGTTGCCCAGGCTGGTCTCAAACTCCTGGGCTCAAGTGATTCTCCCACCTCAGCCTCCTGAGTAGCTGGGACCACTGGCGTGAACCATCATGCCCAGCTATTTTTTTCTTTTCTTTTCTTTTCTTAAGAGATGGGGCCGGGGGGGAGGGGGGCGGTGGTCTCACTAATTTGGCCAGGCTGGTCTCGAACTCCTGAGCTCAAGAGATCCACCTGCCTCAGCCTCCCAAAGTGCTGGGATTACAGGCATGTGCCACAGTGCCCAGCCCCTATCTCTCTCTTAATGGGATACTTGTGTTACACTTAGGGCCCACCCTGATAATCTAGGATAATCTCATTTCAGAATCTTTAGTCACATCTGCAAAGTCTTCGAATGTAGGTAGCAGTCACAGATTCCAAGCATTAGTACTGAATTCCTGTGGCGACCACTATTCTGCCTGCTCCCAGCCCCCAGAGGACGCAGAGTTTAAGAGGGGCCTGCCTTCAGTCAGCCTGTGGGCATGAGCCTCACACATCCACTCAGCACATCCTGGGAGGGGACCTGGACTCCTCACCCCCCACAAGGCCAGGACCCCCTGTCTGCCAGGAACCCCAGAGAGGGGGAAGCAGGCTGTGCAATGGGGGCGGTAGGATGTGGAAACCACAGAAGTGGTTAGGACAGAATTCTGGAGTTAAGCATCCCAGAGATGAGGAGTCAGAAAGGCCCTTCCCCTACCTGGATGCTGCCCCTATGTCTGATTTGAATTCTCCTTTCATTCCTCCATTTAGCAGACACTCAGACCAGAGCCAGGCTCGGTACTAGGTTCTGGAGAGCTTGTCCATGTCCTCAAAGAGCTTGCAGTCTAAACCTAGGAGTGATAATGGCCAGCACCAGGGTCTCCAGGAGGCTGGAGGAGCAGGAGACTCTTCTCTTTCCAGAGCGGGCAATGTAGGCCCAGGAAAGGGGACTGGTTTTGTCTGGAGTTGGGCTGAAGCCACTTTAGCATGAGGATTTTGCCTTTCCTCAATCCCCCGACCCCAGAGCCTTCCTGTGCCTTCCTGTGATTTTGTCATTCTTGTCTCGTTTCCTCTTGGTATTTTCAAAGTAAAATAACGACTGTTCATCTTCCCTTAGAAGGGCTGGCACAGAAAGTGATTCATCCCAAACTGTGCACCTGCTCTATCTGTACAGTTGGCGGGTGGTGAGCCAAGGAACAGGACCCCCGGAGTCAGGCGGCATTTTACTCAAATGCTAAGCACTCGTTCCAAGTTTGAGTAAGGTAGAACAATGAGTGGCCAGTCCTGCCTTCCCACAGCTCAAGTGCAGCAAGCACCGTCCTTAAAACAGAAGAGCTGGCTGGGCGAGGTGGCTCATGCCTGTAATCCTAGTACTTTGGGAAGCCGAGGTGGAAGGATCACTGGAGCTCAGGCGTTCGTGACCAGCCTAGGCAAACATAGTGAGATCTCGTCTCTATTTAAATAAAATAGAAAATCTATTTAAGACAAACAACAGAAGAGCTATCGTGAAACTTGGGTGCTCTGGGTAAAGCTTGGGAAGAGGCAGGCCCTCCCAGCATGTCTGGAATCCCAAAATTAGCAACCTGTTTCCTTGTCTGTAAAATGGGTGTAGACATGGTCGGCTAAGAGGACAACAGCACCGGTGCCGGGTGTTGAGCAAGCCCTCGACAGCCTCACCGAGAGCGCACCAAGGGCCACCCGCGCGCTGCTGCTCCGGGGACTCCCACCTTTCCCTCGGGCGCCGGCCTGGTGAGCCAGCCTGCGGGCGCGCGTGGGGGTGCTCGGAGCGGTCTCAGGTGCTCTGAGCCGCCAGATCTGGAGTCCAGTGCCCTACCGAGCCCGAGTCCCAGCACAGCCTCCCGTCGCGTCTTCCCGCGGCCTGGGGGTCCCCGCCCGCTCAGCGCCTCCCACGCGCGGACTCCTAGGCTGAGCGTGCAGGGCAGCTGGGCCCACGCGAGGGCGGGGCGAGCCGGGGCTTTGTGTTCAAACCGGCCAATGGGTGGCGGCGGTGGGCGGCAACGGCCGGCAGGGCCTGTCCAATGGGCTGCGGCCTGTCAGCGTTGACTGACAGGCGCACACATACACAGTCGGCCACACGCGCGCCGCCCGGCCCCACTCGCGCAGCGCGGGCGTCCGCCGGCCGCATTGTCCGCCCGCCCGCGTCGTCCCGCGTCGCCGCTCTTCGCGTGCCCGCGCGCCCCGGGCCCGGCCGCCGTCTCGCCCTGCGCGGAGCACCGCCCGCGGGATCCCCACGCGGAAAGGGGGCGCGCCCCGGCGGCGGGCGCGCCTCGAACGCCCCCGGCCGGGTTAGGAGCCGCCGCGGCAGCAGGTGAGTGCGGGCGAGCACAGGAGAGGGTGAGGGGCCGCGGGCTGGCTTGACCCCATGTCACCGTCGGGCCGCTTGGGCGGGGCCGCCCGGCCAGGCCTGCTTCCTCCTCTCCGGGCCGCGCTGGGCCGGCTCCAGTCCCCACCCGGGTCCGCGGCCCGCGCCGTGACTCACCTCCCGGCTCCCGCCGCGCCCGCCGCGCCCGCCGCGCCACTGGTCAGCCGGGAGGGCGGTGTCTGCGGGCGGGACTTCCCGGGCAGCCTCCCGGGAGGAGGAGGGCAAAGGCCGGCTGCCCCAACCTGGCCCCGGGCAGCGCCTACGGGTTTTGTGCCAGACAAGCCGTTTCCAGGGACAGGCAGTTCCCAGCCTCTGCCTGTCAGAACTCAGGGCCTCGGAGGAAGGCCTGTTTTGTTCAGTTCGAAAACAAAACAAAACAAAACAAAACAAAGCAATGGGGGCCGCGTTGTGACTTAGAGAGCCTTGAAGGCGCGCCTTTGGTGACAATTTCTGCAGGTTCGGCCTGTGGGAATGAAAGCAGGGGGAGTTAGCACCGGCCGTTTGGCACGTCCCACAAGGGCGTGTGGCCTGACTGTGCCCAGGGAGTGGAAATGTCACGAGGAAGATGCCCCAGATCTGGGTTAAGTCTGAAGATGGATGGAGATGTTTGTGATGGGGAAGGGCGGAATTGAGAAAAGCATGTTGCCCAGCTGAGAAGTGGGGAAGGATGCTTTAGGTGAGCGTTTCTTAACTGATTGTTGGGGAGGAGGTGGGGCGGGGGTGGTGTCTGTTCTGATGCGCAGTAGTAGATTTCAGCTCCTAGAGGCTCACTTCTTGTTTTGGAGAATGGGACCTCGACCTTTTTCATCTTGTGAAACCCAGACTCAATGGTAAACTGTTTTGTGATGCCAGGATACCTCAGGAAAGACTAAGAGGCATCTCTGGGAGTTCTGGGAGGGCAGAGGCGGGTGCTGACAGTTTTCAGCACTCCCCCCTCAACCTCCATCAGAATATTTAGTTCTTCCCAGCAGCAACTTGGGTATGGTATAAACATGTTGCTTTGTTTCTGCCCTGGGCAAAGGTGTCACCTCCTTCAGCAGGACAGGGGCTAAGAGGAGTCCCTGTGTGGGCAGCTGGAGCCTTCAGGTAGGGGCAGCACAGGCCAGGGCAGGGAGGGGGGAGGGGGGATTACCTTATAAGGACAGGAATAGAGACAAGGACCCAGGCCAACTTCCTGCTTTTCCTACTACCAATCGGTCCCTTTTCCAGCACCAGCTAAAAGTAGGGGGGGATGCCAGATGGGCATCTGACCTGGGAATACGCCAAGAAGGCCAGGACATGAGGCTGCTTGTGTTTCAGAGGAGGACTTTCTAGCCGGACTAACCAGACCTTCGGGTTTCTGCAGCCTGGATTGGGAAGTGTACTTCTATACCTGCCACACAATCCAGAGAGCTGGTCATTTAAGTATCAACCAGGAATATTAGAAGTGATCAAAAGTCACAAGCAAGTGCTAGGAATTCTCAAGTGACTTTGTCATACAGGCCAGCGGAGGCACTAACGTTGAGACTCCTCATGTTGGCAGTCGAGGACTTTGAATTTGGGTGTCTAGACCTTAGCGGTTCATTAATCTGCCTCCAGTCACAGAATGCCACCTTTTGCCAGATCTTTGCACTCTGGCTTCCTTTGTCCTCATTATCAATTCCAGAGCCTTGATCTCTGCCCCACATGGTGACCGGCACTGACTGTAACTCATGCTGCCCTCCTCCTCCCTATGTTGTTAGTTTGCTAACAAATATTTGTTGTGTAACAAGTTTGTATACAGCCTTGCTTTGCACATGTGTGGGGTAAAAAAGATTCTAGAATCTTCAATACATTCCTGAAACAACTGGAAAACTTTATGGCTGAGTAGAAAGACCCAGGCCCTACAGCCAGTCCGAGCTGAGCCCAAACCCTGGCTTTGTCACTTACAGGCTGGGGACTGTACGCAAGTTACCCATTGCCTCAGTGTCCAGGTTCTTCCCTTGTAAATGGGAGTCATGATACCTACCTTGCTTCTAATAATCATAAATGGGGTATACAAGGAGCCTGGACCCAGCAGACACTTACCATTTTATCATCATCTTACCAAGATGTGGCGGCACAGTGTGCACCATGGGGACAGAGGGCGAGCACCATTAGGACGTAGGTGGGAGCCTGGCCAACGTGGTGAAACCCTGTCTCTACTATAAAAAACAGAAAAAAAAAAATGCTTTTGACTGAGCGTGGTGGCTCATGCCTGTAATCCCAGTACTTTAGGAAGCTGAGGTGGGCGGATCACCTGAGGTCAGGAGTTTGAGAGCAGCCTGGCCAACATGGCGAAATCCCCTCTCTACTAAAAATACAAAAATTAGCCGGTCACAGTGGCGCACACCTGTAATCCCAGCCACTTGGGAGTCTGAGGCAGGAGAATCACTTGAACCGGGAAGGTAGAGGTTGCAGTGAGCCGAGATTACCCCACTGCACTCCAGCCTGGGCAGCAGAGCGAGACTCTGTCTCAAAAAAAAAAAAGAAGAACAACATAGGTGGGGTCTACATGGGGAAGGTTTTCCATCAAGGTTCGCTGGGGCCCTCCATCAACGAGCGTATGTCAGCAAAGGGACACAGCTAGAGCGAGACTGGGAGAAGTCTCTAGGGAGAAGGCAGGTGGGATGGCTGGACGACCGGGGGTGCAGGCAGTGACCAGAAGTTTGCAGGTGCCTGTCACGTGCCAGAGTCTCTGCTACTTGTTAGAGGTCGAGGAAGACCCAGTGCAGAGCTCAGCACCACGAAGGGTAAAGACAAGGAAACTGAAAATTGGGAAGCCTGTGGAAAGTGCCCTGGAAGAGGCTCCAGAGTCACTAAGTGAACCCTAGGTCGGGCATGACTCCAGCCGATGCGCAGTGCGGGAGTGCTTCACAGATCCCTGCCTTGCCCCCCATCAGGGTTGTTCAGACTGAATGCCAGGGGTCGGGGGGTGGTCTGTTCTCGGCTGTGAGGTGATGCCTCCATTCCACCTCCTCCAGAGGGGAGCTGGGGACAGCCCCAGGCCTCACATCCAGTCCTCCTCCTCCTTTCTCTCCTTAGATTCTCTTCAGGGGAAGAGTCCACATCCCACCTCATCATGTCCCGAAGAAGCCAGCGCCTCACGCGCTACTCCCAGGGTGACGATGACGGCAGCAGCAGCAGCGGAGGGAGCTCAGTGGCCGGGAGCCAGAGCACCCTGTTTAAAGATAGTCCTCTCAGGTAGGGACCCGAGGGAGTGCCACAGCCCCTGGCGACCCCACATGCTTTTGGTCACTGCCCGCACGCCCTCTAGTCCAGCCATCGCCCTGCCTTCTTGTTGCAACCTTCATGGACAGAGATCAAAGGACGTGGGCCCCCGTCCAGTCAAGGGGGTCCTGCCTTGCTCCATGTGTATGAGCACGCAGCACCCCTTCTTCTCCCCGCGACTGTGAGCCGGGCTGCTGCCCTGATGCTTAGAAAACAGGAAGTGGCAGGCCAGGCACGGCAGCTCACACTGATAATGCCAGCTCTTTGGGAGGCCAAGGTGGGTGGATCACCTGAGCCTGACCAACATAGTGAAACCCCATCTCTACTAAAAATACAAAAATTAGCCAGGCGGTGGCGGGCAGCTGTAATCCCAGCTACTCAGGAGGCTGAGGCAGGAGGATCACTTGAACCTGGGAGGTGGAGGTTGCAGTGAGCCGAGATCATGGCATTGCACTCCAGCCTGGGCGACAAGAGCGAAACTCCATCTCAATCTCAAAAAAAAAAAAAAAAAGGAAACAAAGAAAACAGGAAGTGGAGAGAGGCAGCTTCAAGCATAAGCCAGGCCGGAAACCCCAAAACTGCAGGCTGGGCTCACAGGAACCCCCTCTGCTCTGGACGGGCATGTCAGCCTTACCATCCTTCCTGGCCCCACGCCCGCATGTCTCACCACCTGTCCGGCCTCAGCAGCTGGCCAGCGACACGGCTGAGGACAAGCGCAAGTCCTCAGGCCACTGGGAAATGGGCTGCAGCGGCAGCTGCCTGGTTGTCCTGCCCTTCTCACAGACATGGGGCCCAGAGGACAGGCCCTGAGGCTTTGGCTAGCTCCGAGGCCAGGCCAGGTCTGTCTGGTTTCAGTGGGTTATAAAGTTTGAATCTGGCTCCATCCCTAGCTGCCGCTCCCTGTCTTGCCCATCTGCTGGTGAGATTCAGAGATAACAGGAGAGGAAGTGCCAGCATTGGAAGAGTCAGGGGAATGGCAGCTGCAAGTTGCCTAGCAACAAGGGAACCTGCACTAGGCAGGGCTGCAGGCTGTGGCTTTCCTTCATGCTTCTGGCTGGGCTCACCTCCCTGCTCCCTGCCTCTGCCCTCACGGTTGTCCCACAGGACCTTGAAGAGGAAATCCAGCAACATGAAGCGCCTGTCCCCAGCACCACAGCTGGGCCCATCCTCTGATGCACACACCTCCTACTACAGTGAGTCGCTGGTCCGTGAGTCCTACATCGGCACCGCGTTCCCGCCCAGGAGTGCCCTGGAGGAACTGCACGGTGATGCCGACTGGGGTGAGTGTGGAGCCCTCTTCTCCTGGGGCTTTGCTTCCTCCACCTCCTGCAAGATACTCCTCACAGTGTCCCCTGCAGTCCCCGGGATTCCCTCCTCAGAGCACCTCTCTGCCCAGGCCCCACTTTTCAGAAGCTCTTGGAGGCCCAGAAGAGCCCCTGGTTCTTCCCTGCACAGGCGAGGACCTGCGGGTGCGGAGGAGGAGAGGCACGGGCGGCTCGGAGAGCAGCAGGGCCAGCGGGCTCGTGGGGCGCAAGGCCGCCGAGGACTTCCTGGGCTCTTCCTCGGGCTACTCCTCTGAGGACGACTACGTGGGTAGGTGATGCTTCCTCCCTCCCGAGCAGATCCGAGGCTGCTGGGAAGCCTCAGGAAGGCTGGGCAGAGAGCCCCGGGGAGCTGGAGAGAGGGCAGCATGTGGTAGGCACGCTGCCCCTCCCATGCCCGGCGCTGGATGCGCTCCAGCCTGGCCTGCGGTGGCCCCTGGCGCCCTAGGCTGCGACCGCCCCTCACTTCTCTGTTCTCCCCATCCCACAAGTCTGTGGCAACCTAAGGCCAACACCCTTGCATTCAGGCCCATTCCAGCACTTTCCCGTGGGGCTCCACACACGGTGGGTGCTCAGTCATTCTGAGTGGTGTGCATGTCAGACCCCATCATCTAGTTCTGAACAGAAGCTTGAGGGGTGGCTGGTGAGGAGAGGGATGCAAACAGGAAGCTGTCAGAGGAAACAGAATGGTCTGTGTGGGGCTGCGGGGATGTGAAGGAGGATAGGTGACTTCTGGTCTTGGCTCACGGAAGACAGTGAAGGAAGAGGCTTGAAAGTGACAGAGACTGAGCCAGTGTCCTTGTTCCCTGCAGGCTACTCGGATGCGGACCAGCAGAGTTCCGGCTCACGGCTCCGGAACGCCGTCTCACGGGCGGGCTCCTTACTCTGGATGGTGGCCACTTCGCCAGGTGGGCTGCAAGCCGTGCCCAGTTACTTCCATTCTTGGTGGTAGTGCTTTCTTACCCATCTCTCTGCAGTTGGGCATCCTGCCCATGCAGAGAGACTGTAGGACTGTCGGGGAAAGGTCATTCTAGAATAATCACTGGGAGCCCAGGGCTGTGGGGACCCCCTCGCATGGAAGGGAAGGAGCAGCTGCGGAGCAGGACAGAGGGTGTGGGCAGGTGGGATCCCAGGAGCTGGGTCCTGGTAGGGCAGGACAGAGGCATACTGGCAGGTGGGGGTGGGGTGGGGGCAGGGAGGACGACAGACGGGACAAGGGAGTGGTGCCCCCAACCACCATGTGGAGCCTTAGGCTTGATGGTCATTCTCCTAGGCCGGCTCTTCAGACTTCTCTACTGGTGGGCTGGCACCACCTGGTACCGCCTGACCACAGCTGCCTCCCTCCTTGACGTCTTCGTTTTAACCAGGTGAGCGAGACTCCACCCTTGCCAATCAATCACAAGGCCCTGGGGTGAAGGGACTGATAAAGTGTGTCAACCTATAATGTTCGATTCTCTGAGGGTTTTCTCCAGTTTCCCTGGACCTTTTATTAGTGATCATGGAGTAGCCTCCCCACAGCCCACCCCAGCCTGACAGAGGATAGACTCAGAGTCAGGTTTTCAGGTTTTTCTCCCCAAATCGATAGCCCTTTGAGACAGGATTCCAGAGCACGGATTTTTTCTTCTTGGACACATTCAACTAAACACCACCCTAGTCCTGCTGTGCCTGGCTCTCAGACACATGATGGCTTTCCTCCTGCAGGGGAGGCCCACTGACTCCAGGCAAGAAGTGGGGTTTCCCAGAAAGTCCATCTTCCTTCCTGGGCCTGGGACAGTCTGACCCCCCGAGTTCCCCACTCATGGTCAGAGCCACAAAGAGGCTCTGCCTGAGGATGCTATGGGTTCATTCCCCAAGTCCCTAAACCAGCAGAACCAGGACTTGGCAGAAGAAAGAACACGGAACCCAGAAGTCAGGATCCCTCTGGCCACAGTCCAGGTCTGGGCAGAGAGGACAGCTGGCCACACTGAAACAAGGGGCAAGGATGGGTTTGTGTCACCAAAAACAGGTTCCTTGTTATTAAGGAGTTACTTTTTTTCTATATTTGCATACTTAGAGGACCTGTCCATATAAAAGTTTTCAAGTTTTTCAAAGACCACACTATTTTTAATAACATCCATAAAATTCAGTAAAAATTGCCCCATCACTCTAAGACCTGCCCAGCAGGAAAGGCTCTGATGTGTCCAGGCTGGCCCTGGCATGGTGAGAAGCTCAAAGCTATCCTCCTTAGCTCTAGTTCAGCACCCAGGAAAACATCTCAGGGTACTCCCTGGGGGGAACGTGGAGGCCTGGAGCTCCCCTCACGCGTCTGCCTCCCCTGTCCTGCCGTTCCATGTGGTCTAGGCGCTTCTCGTCCCTGAAGACGTTCCTCTGGTTCCTGCTGCCGCTGCTCTTGCTGACATGCCTGACGTATGGTAAGCCTGCCTGGGGCGAGTGGAGGGAGGCACAGAGATGTGTTCACCAGAGGGTGGTGACCCTTGGCAGGCAGGGAAGGGGCAGGATGGGGTGGGGTGAGCCCGTGCCTGGGCAGGGCCTGAGTTCTGGACCCTGGATCATCTCTGCATGACCCTCCCCACCTCTCCTGAGCCTCCTTTGCGCCGCCCTGGGCAGGAGCACACCCTAGTGCTGCAGCATTGGGTGAAGAGTGGGATGCCCTCCCGTTATCATTAGCAGTCATCCTCCCTCCACTCCAACAGGGACATCGGCTGTGAGGGAGTTATTTTTACAAGATGAAGTTAAATCTTGAGCTGTCTTTAAAGTAAAAACAATGAAGCAACAAAGGGAAATACATGCTTTTTTTTTTTTTTTGGACGGAGTTTTGCTCTTGTTGCCCAGGCTGGAGTGCAATGGCGCGATCTCAGCTCACCACAACCTCCACCTCTCAGGTTCAAGTGATTCTCCTGCCTCAGCCTCCCGAGTAGCTGGGATTACAGGCATGTGCCAACACACCCAACTAATTTTGTATTTTTAGTAGAGATGGGGTTTCTCCATGTTGGTCAGGCTGGTCTCGAACTCCTGACCTCAGGTGATCCGCCCGCTTTGACCTCCCAAAGTGCTGGGATTACAGGCATGAGCCACCGCGCCCGGCCATAAGTGCCTCTTTTTACACCAGTCACTTACCAGCTGCCCTGAATCATCCCAGGCGCTAGCACAGGCCTGCCTTGGTTTTTTGTTTGTTTTGAGACAAAGTCTTGCTCTGTCACCCAGGCTGAAGTACAGTGGCATGAACACAGCTCACTGCAGCCTTGACCTTCTGAGCTCAGGTGATCCTCCCACCTCAGCCTCCCAAGTAGCTGGGATTACAGGCACGCAGTACCATTCACAGCTAATTTTTTGTATTTTTAGTAGAGACGGGGTTTTACCATGTTGGCCAGGCTGGTCTCGAACTCCTAACCTCAAGTGATCCACCCGCCTTGGCCTCCCAAAGTGTTGGGATTACAGGTGTGAGCCACTGCACCCAGCCCTTTCTTGTTTATATAGGCATTTTGTGTTCAGCTTTTCACTTGACAGCTTTGCTAGTTTCATATGAATTGCCTGTGTGACTCTCAGCTCAATTTTAATGACTGTACCAATTAAAGATTGTGTTTTATTATTTCTTGAGAGTTCGTTTAATAAGCTTAATATCATTTAACTTGTATTTCTTTTATTAATAACAGGGTACAACACTTTTCCAAAAGTTAGCTTCCTTTTTGTGTTTGCTATTACAAGAACAGCTGTTTCATATCCAGTGGAAACTGAGCACCGCCCTTAAAATAATAATAATGCTTCCTTTTTTTTGAGACAGAGTTTTGCTCTGTCGCCCAGGCCCAAGTTCAGTGGCACAATCTTGGCTCACTGCAACCTCTGCCTCTTGGGTTCAAGCAGTTCTCCTGCCTCAGCCTCCCGAGTAGCTGGGATTACAGGTGCATGCCACCACACCCAGCTAATTTTTATATTTTTAGTAGAGATGGAGTTTCGCCATGTTGGCCAGTCTGGTCTCAAACTCCTGACCTCAAGTGATCCACCTCCCTCGGCTTCCCAAAGTGCTGGGATTACAGGCCTGAGCCACTGCGCCCAGTCAGTGATTATTATTATTATTATTTTTTTGAGACGGAGTCTCGTTCTGTCACCCAGGCTGGAGTGCAGTGGCGTAATCTCGGCTCACTGCAAGCTCCGCCTCCCGGGTTCACGCCATTCTCTTGCCTCAGCTTCCTGAGTAGCTGGGACTACAGGTGCCCACCGTGCCTGGCTAATTTTTTGTATTTTTAGTAGAGACAGGGTTTCACCATGGTCTCGGTCTCCTGACCTTGTGATCTGCCTGCCTCAGACTCCCAGAGTGCTGGGATTACAGGCATGAGCCACCGCGCCTGGCCCAGTGATTCTTTATAATTGCATAGCAATGTACCCAGAGAGCACTTTCCCATGCATTATCTCAGTTTAATTTGAGCTTCACCATGGCCTCGTGGGGTTGCTGTAGTCGGTGCTGTGAACCTATCACGTGGAAATGCGAGTGGAAGGGGCTGAGTGACCTGTTCAGGGAGCGTGTGCATGAGGGCCATGTCCACGCTGGACTTCAAGCCCCACGAGCATGAACTTCCTTTTGCACCTGCCAACCGCTGGTGCTTGTGTAGCAAATGGAGGTTTATCAGGACAGAAAGCCCTCCCTCTCCCACTCCCCTGCCACCTGCCCCAAGAGCTCAGGAGTAAACGGGTCTCAAACAGATGGCCCTAACAACAGAACGAACATGTCTGTGTGGCTGCAGCTTGGTGCTCATGTCTGGGCAGCGAGCAGCCTCTCTTAGAGGGGGTGGTGCTTTCTGTTTCAGTGATTCTCAGCCATGGCAGCCCATGACAGTCACCAGGGAGGTTTACAAACCCATCTAAACAGGGGCCCCACCCCAGGCCAATTAGCTTGCTCTTCGGAGGGTAGGGCCAGACCTGGTTGTACTAAAAGCTCCCCAGGTGATTCTGACGTCCAGACAGGGCCGAGAACCACCATCAGGTCCTCTGGGCTGTACCCTGGATCATCCCTAACTTGTTCAAAATGTTTCCTCCAAGTTTTCCCATTTATAGAAAGATGAAGGATTCCCGCGGGAGTTCGAGAATGAATACACTCTGAGGTTGTCGGGTGGAAGTTGCCCCCTCAGAGAATGGGGGCATCTCCATCCCTCTGATGTTTCTGGAAGGGCACAGCTCCACGAGTGGGACAGGCCACGAGCACTGGCAGGGATCAGGCAGCCATCCTCCTTGGCACGTGCCTCTTGCTGGAGGCCCAGCTGGGCTAACACCCTCTCCCCTGTGCACAGGCGCTTGGTATTTCTACCCCTATGGGCTGCAGACATTCCACCCTGCTTTGGTTTCCTGGTGGGCAGTGAAGGACAGCAGGAGGCAGGATGAGGGCTGGGAATCCAGAGACTCGTCACATTTCCAGGTGAGTCTCTAAGGGTGGTAGCTCCCAAGAGTTTAGCAATAATTAGGTGACAGTGAAAGTGGTGGGTGCGCCCTCAGCCTGCCTCACACCGTATACACAAAGCTGAGGCGAACTGTTAGTTGCCTACGAAGCACAGAAAACAGAAAGAAAAGGAATCCAACAAATTGTCTTGTCTACTTTGTTCCTTTTTGATACTGTTTCACGAATAGTTACTGAGCACCTTCTATGACTAAGGTAATATCCCAGTCAGTTACCTCTTACCACAGATAATCCTCCCCTAAAAGCAGTGGCTTAAAACTACAAGCATGTGATTAGTTCATGAGTCTGTGGGTTATCTGGGTGGTCTTTCTGGTCTGAGAAAAGAGAAGCAATCTTGGCTGGGCTCGTACTTGCCTGTGTGGATCTGTCTGTCTGCAGTTGGCTGGCAGGGTCAGCTGGGGGCCAGCTGGCTGAGGCCCTTGCCTAGGACAGCTGTACTCCATGTGCACTTTGCTCACCCGGCAGGCTAGCCCCAGCTGTTTCTTATTGCACCCAGGCAGGGTTTCAAGAGAGAATCAAGGCAGCCAGACCTTTGAGGCCTTGATCCAGAACCAGTACACCATCACTCCCACCACATTCTGTGGGCTACAGCAAATCTCAGAGCCAAATCCAGATGCAAGGAGAGGGAAATAGACTTCACCTCTCAGCAAGAGAACGCACAAGGTCGCATGGCAGAGGTGCGGCTGCAGGGAGAAGTGAGGAATAGTGGCCATTTTTATAATCTGCCAGAGTCAGATGGATCAGGTCCAGGCTGTGCCCTCAAGGAGCCTGCAGTTAGCATAACCAGAAAGCAAGGTGAGCACAGGTCCTGATACTGACAATTTAAACCTCTAGGCCAGGCCTGGTGGCTCACACCTGTAATCTCAGCACTTTGGAGGCCAAGGTGGGAGGATCACTTAAGGCCAGGAGTTCGAGACTAACCTAGGCAACACAGTGAGGCCCTGTCTGTATTTTTAATAAAACTCTTCATTTTCTAATTATAGTTATTTGACTTGCACTTACACCTCTGAATTTAACTTGGTATCATATTTTTATTATTCATTTAAAAATTGTTTGAGACAGGGTCTCATTCTGTTGTCCAGGCTGGAGTACAGTGGTGCAATCATAACTCATTGTAACCTTGAACTCCCAGGCTCAAGCGATCCTCCTCCATGAGCCTGCCAAGCAGCTAGGACTGCAGGTGTGCGTCACCATGTCTGTCTAATGTTTTAAAAATTTTTTGTAGAGACAGGGTCTCACTGTGTTGTCCAGGCTGGTCTTGAACTCCTGGCTTCAAACAATCCTCCTGCCTCAGCCTTCCAAAGTGCTGGGATTACAGGCATGAGTCACTGCACCTGGCGTGTTATCACCTTTTTTTTTTTTTTTGAGACAGAGGCTTGCTGTGTCACCCAGGCTGGAGTGCAGTGGCATGATCTCGGCTCACTACAGCCTCCACCTCCTGGGTTCAAGCGGTTCTCCTGCCTCAGCCTCCCGAGTAGCTGGGACTACAGGCGCGCGCCACCACGCCCAGCTAATTTTTTTATTTTCAGTAGAGACAGGGTTTCACCATGTTGGCCAGGATGGTCTCTATCTCCTGACCTCATGGTCCACCCGCCTTGGCCTCCCAAAGTGCTGGGATTACAGGCGTGAGACACCGCACCCAACCAGTATCATATGTTTAACCATCTATTTTTGTATATATTACTTTCCAGACCATGATCTTTCCAATTTTATTGTATGTGCTGCCAAAGTGAGTACCAGACCATGATCTTATTATTTTACAAAATAATGACATGTCATCTATGACTTTTCCTTTTTTCACCATTAATGACATTAAATACGGTTCAATTTCAGAGCCATCTCTTTTGTAAAAAAAAGAGTAAAAAAAAAAATAATATATCTTGTATTAGCAACATTTGCACGAAGTTAAAATAAAAACAGCTTCCTGGTCTGGGAGTGGCTGGTGGTGAGGCAACTAGGGGGATGGGGCAGAGGATTTTTTGCTGTTTTTTGTGGGCTTTTTTTTTTTTTTTGAGACAGAGTCTTGCTCTTGTTGCCCAGACTAAAGTGCAGTGGCACGATCTCATCTCACTATAACCTCCGCCTCCCGGGTTCAAGCGATTCTTCTACCTCAGCCTCCTGAGTAGCTGGGATTATAGGAGCCTGCTACCATCCCCAGCTAATTTTTGTATATTTAGTAGAGACAGGGTTTCCCCATATTGGCCAGGCTGGTCTCGAACTTCTGACCTCAGGTGATCCACCAGCCTCGGCCTCCCAAAGTGCTGCGATTACAGGCGTGAGCCACCACATCCAGCCTGTTTGTGTGCTTTTTGAGTCATGCAAATGTAGCGCCTATTTAAAAACCAAAATTTCTAAAACTCAGAACCTCTGCTGCTCAGTAGCTCCCTGCCCTTTATTTGACAGTTTTTATCACTTCTCTTGGCAATGATTTTGTTGTTAAGCCAACAACGTTCTCAAATTCATGACACACTATCAAATGCCACCCTCAGTCCAAATGACATTTATTCCATTTTCTCTGTGGGGCATCCTGCTAAAGAGGAAAAAGAACATATTTTCCAATTATTCCGTCTCTTAGCCATAGTTCCCTAGGAAAAGAGTGAAAGCCATTGAGAGTCCACAGGCTGAACTCACAGCCCTGGCTCCCCTGCCCCTGCAGGAGGCGGGAAAGGAGTGAGCTTCAGGCCAGCAGGGTCCATGGCCCCCTGCAGCCATCCTGAAGCTTCCAGTCCTCCTCTTGGACCGTCACTGCACTCAGACCTTCTCCCCAGCCCACCTTCCTTCCTCCTCTGGGATCAGACTTCTGTACTGTGTCCTCAGGGACCCTCCTCTGTGACCAGCACCCAGTGATCCCTGGCTCCCAGCACCCCCAGCTCAGAGGTCGGCAGCCCCTGCCTATGAGCTCCAGCTGGCCCTGCATGGACTTATGCTGGAATATCTCTGGAATCTTTTCCCTTTCTTTCTGTGTTGGCTGTGTCGGGGTGGTCTTTGGGAAGCACTGTCATCCAAGGGTCCCTCACTCAGTGGCTCTCTCTCCGCCCTGCCAGGCTGAGCAGCGTGTTATGTCCCGAGTACACTCACTGGAGCGGCGTCTGGAAGCTCTTGCTGCTGAATTTTCCTCCAACTGGCAGAAGGAGGCCATGCGGCTGGAACGTCTGGAGCTGCGGCAAGGGGCTCCTGGCCAGGGAGGCGGTGGTGGCCTGAGCCACGAGGACACCCTGGCACTGCTGGAGGGGCTGGTGAGCCGCCGTGAGGCTGCCCTGAAGGAGGATTTCCGCAGGGAAGCTGCTGCTCGCATCCAGGTAGGAGGTGGAATACCTCAGGGTGGGAGGTGGGTGACACCCCTAGGAACGCCTGAAGGTGGCCAGCAAGAGAGAGAACAAGTGCCATTTGGGATCAGACAGCTCTGCCATTTGGCAGTTAATCCCCTTCTCTTTTTCTTCTTTTTTTTTTTTTTGGAGACAAGGTCTCACTCTGTCACCCAGCCTGGAGTGTAGTGGCGTGATCTCGACTCACTGCAACCTGTGCCTCCCGGGTTCAAGTGATTCTCCTGCCTCAGCCTCCCAAGTAGCTGGATTACAGGCGTGCACCACCACATCCAGCTAATTTTTTTGTATTTTTAGTAGAGACAGGGTTTCACCATGTTGGCCAGGCTGGTCTTGAACTCCTGACCTCAAGTGATGTGCCCGCCTTGGCCTCCCAAAGTCCTGGGATTACAGGCATGAGCCACCACGCCAGGCTTCCTCACCTTCTCTAAGCCTCAGTTTCCTCCTCTTTGATGGAGGCCATCGTGTCTCCCCCACCCCCATAGTGAGCTGTGTGAGTAGAAGGCCCCAGCATGGTGCCTGACACCACACAGGTGTGCAGTGGAGATGAAGCAGGAGTCTTGCGTGGTTCAGAGAAGCAATGTAGCCTGAAGGCTGAGAGCCAGCCAGGGCTTTGGAAGCAAACACCTTGTCTGAATTCCAGTTCCACCACTTCCTAGTCATAAGGGTCCCTATAAGCATGACTCTGTCAGACCTGTCCTCTCACTGCTGTCTGACAGGAAGAACTGTCTGCCCTGAGAGCAGAGCATCAGCAAGACTCAGAAGACCTCTTCAAGAAGATCGTCCGGGCCTCCCAGGTCAGCGCGCTTGGGCACTCAGGGCCTGTGACCGGGTCCTGACCCCATCCAACATGTTCACCTCGGACCCCTCAGCCCTTCCAAAGGGACTGCTTGGGTGTTGCATAGGGAGGGGTGTGCCCTCCTCTGACTTCTCTGTTTGACCCCTGACCCCTTAGTTGGAGAGCTGTGCAGGGGCTCCCTGGGGTGTGCCAGGGCACAGTGGCCTGCCATGCTGGTGCGCACGTGCTGAGTGTGGGTGAACGGATACCTCAGTATGTTAGACGTGGACGAGACTCATGAGGGCTTTGACCAGGAGGCCAGTTTGATTTTTGCTGCAGGGGTCAGCAACCACACCTTGGGCAGGGGTGTGGTTAAGCAAGACGCTAACAGACAGCAGATCCTACTCTGGAACACCAGTTTCTGAGCTTGGAACACCAATTTCTGAGCTGGGCATTTCTTGTGTTTGTCTCTTCTTCCTACACAGGAGTCCGAAGCTCGCATCCAGCAGCTGAAGTCAGAGTGGCAAAGGTACTGGGCACCACCAGCTGGCCTCGGCCTGCTCCTCCCCAGTCCCACCCACTATTCAGGCAGGACTGGGGAGCAGAGCCCCAGAGCAGAGAGTTCTGATTGTCTTGCCAAGCAGAGGGTTGTGGGGAGGGGCTGAAGCCCAGCTCAGGACCCTTGTCCAGGGCCTGTCTTTGAGGTGCCATGAAGGTTAGCAGGGGGGTCCTGGGGGCGGGGGGCAGGCCCTGTGAGAGGACCTGGATTCATTTATAGACATAGCATCCTTTCTTACAGCCTCACATAACCGCCTTCTCATGCCCCAGATGTCCATGCTTGTGGAAGATGTGAGAGGCTGAGGCAGAGTAAATTATGGACTCTGGGCTCAGAAAGGGAGCAGGCTCAGAATTAGCTCCTTGGCACAGGCAGGCCAGTTCCTGGGCACCTGCACTGTGTTCTGCAGCCAGAACCCCCAGGAGAGGCCTTGCCCCTTCTCAGGTTCATGATGAGTGCTGGACACCCGCTGTCAGGACAGGAACCCACTAGGGGGTCCTCTTTCTTCTTCGGTGTGGCCTTACCTCCCACCAAAGAGATCTGAGGCTTACTTTTCTCTCTCTGGGACCAGCATGACCCAGGAGTCCTTCCGGGAGAGCTCTGTGAAGGAGCTGAGGCGGCTGGAGGACCAGCTGGCCGGCCTGCAGCAGGAGCTGGCGGCTCTGGCGCTGAAGCAGGGCTTAGTGGCGGATGAAGTGGGCTTGCTGCCCCAGCAGATCCAGGCCGTGCGGGACGACGTGAGTGGGAACCACCAGGGCCCTGCTGGTCCCTCTCCTCCTCCTCTGAGACCACATGTCCTGGGGCCTGCAAAGCAGGCACCCCTTGCCCCTGCAGCCTCTATTATGCCCAAGAGACTGTGGCGCTGGCCTTGGCACATGTGGGCTCTCATTGACAGGCATTCTTCCTGTTTTTCTGTCAGTGCCCATGGAGAGTGTTCATAACTCTCCTCCAGTGGCCTCCCTCCTACCCTATCCCTGCTATCCAGCTAAGCACTGACCCTGTCATAGCAGCTCCTGCTGTCCCTGCAAGCCCCCCAGGGTGACACCCTTTTTGGTTCCTTTAGGTGGAATCTCAGTTCCCAGCCTGGATCAGTCAGTTCCTTGCCCGAGGTGGAGGGGGCCGCGTGGGGCTCCTTCAGAGAGAGGAGATGCAAGCTCAGCTGCGAGAGCTGGAGAGCAAGATCCTCACCCATGTGGCAGAGATGCAGGGCAAGTCGGCCAGGGAAGCTGCAGCCTCCCTGGGCGTGACACTGCAGAAAGAAGGTGTGATTGGAGTGACAGAGGAGGTGAGGCCCACATGCCCCCTCCACACACCCACCCACAGCTCTCCTCCCTGGGAGCCCTGGACAGTCCCACACTGCCAGCTCCCTGGCAGGTTCCAGGATGGAAGTGCCAAGCAGGAGGCTCTGCATGCTGTGGGGCCGGCATGGGTGGGTGGCAGTGTGCCCACATCTGCCTGGGCACCAGCACAGTGCAAGCCTAGAAGGGGTCAGCCCATGGGTCCTTGGCCCACGGCCGCGAGGTGATAGGGGACATGTCTGCTCCCTGCCACAACTGTCTCCTGGTGCCCGCATTGCAGCAGGTGCACCGCATCGTGAAGCAGGCCCTGCAGCGCTACAGTGAAGACCGCATCGGGCTGGCGGACTACGCCCTAGAGTCAGGAGGTACATACCCTGCTTTCCTCGCTTTGCCTTGTCCTGGGCCCCACAATGGCCGGTCCCCTGGCACCTACCAGGTTGGTGGTGGGGCAGAGCAAGCAAAGCTCAGGATCAGCAGGTTACCCAACCTAGAACCCCCACAAGGCAAGTGGCAATTCAGGGAAGTCGGGACGTACCAAGCACCATCCTGGGCTGGGGAGAGGCTGACCTTTAAAGCTGCTCTGGGCGTCTGGGTTAGGGTTAAAGACTAGGCCTGAGGCATCTGCCATCCACCCTCCACGAGGAGACAGCCAATGGCCTGAGCTGGGCCCTCCTGCCGTGCGGGAGTTCACCCTGCCTTCCCCTCCTGTCTCAGGGGCCAGCGTCATCAGCACCCGATGTTCCGAGACCTACGAGACCAAGACGGCCCTCCTCAGCCTCTTTGGCATCCCCCTGTGGTACCACTCCCAGTCACCCCGAGTCATCCTCCAGGTGGGCACCTGGCAAGCACAGTAGCAGGGGCTCTGAGCACACTGGGGGCCGGTCCCATCCGGGGTCAGCAAGAGCTAGACTCAGGGCCCTGCCTGACAGGACTTTCTGCTCCTCCAGCCAGATGTGCACCCAGGCAACTGCTGGGCCTTCCAGGGGCCCCAGGGCTTCGCCGTGGTCCGCCTCTCTGCTCGCATCCGCCCCACAGCTGTTACCTTAGAGCATGTGCCCAAGGCCTTGTCACCCAACAGCACCATCTCCAGTGCTCCCAAGGACTTCGCCATCTTTGTGAGTATCTGTCCTGTGGTGGGGCCAGAGGGGCTGCAGGAGGATCCTGTGGGCCTCTCTACTGAGGATCAAGTCAGGGTCACCCTTGGACTGGGAGGGAGGGGAGTGGATTTGGAAGGGAGGAGCCAGGGTGGGAGACAGCGCTTCAGTCTGTGTTACCTCAGGCTTTGGAGGCAGAAACTGGCACAAGAGAGTTAAGTGACTTGTCATAGGCCACGCTAGTGCCGACCTTCTGGCTGGGAGGAGCAGGCACTGGAGTGGGGAGGGGTGTTCTCCCTGCTCCAGCCCCTCCCCACTTCCCTTCGCTCTCTTTGCAGGGGTTTGATGAAGACCTGCAGCAGGAGGGGACACTCCTTGGCAAGTTCACTTACGATCAGGACGGCGAGCCTATTCAGACGTTTCACTTTCAGGTATGGGATTCTGCTGTGCTAGCAGAAGCAGCGCAAACTGCCCATCCAGGCAGCAGGCACTCCCTGGACACCTACCCTGCTGGGCATGGGGTTCATAGAGGGAAGCCCTGCCCTCCTTTCCCGCAGCTCAAGATGTGACATCCAAATGGAATGTAAGGCACATCCTGCAGATGTCAGCACAGGGGAAGGCACCTTCCAGAAGGGCAGTATAAGGGAAGCTTCCTGGAAAAGGACACCAGGAGGCAGGCTTTACACAGGAGGGGTTGGGTGGCCAGGAGAGAAAGGCTGGGAGAGGCATCTGAGGGGCCACCGCCAGCACGTGCCAGGGTGCGGGCATTCTCCCAAGGCCAGCTGGGGCCTCAGGCAGTGCATGAGGCTTAGACTTCAGTGGGCATTGGATCTCCTAGGTCAGTTAGAAATGCAGATTCCCAGTCTCCACCCCAGGAGACTCTGGTTCCTTAGGGCTGACAGGACCCAAGAGCCTGCTTTTGAACAAACCAGTGGCCTAAGCCCCACACCGGGGGCGTCCTGGAGTGAAAAATTGGGTTGCAGGGGGATAGTGGGAGGTGGACAAGGGACAGTGGCAGGAAGAGGAGGCCGCAGAGGCAGGAATTCAGCCCTCAGGGGCCTGGGGGAGGCAGTGCTGTGCTTCAGGTGACAAAGCTGTGTCCATTTGACTAACATCACTATATTACTCAAAGGGGGCGAGCCTGGGCCTGGGAGACCCGTCAGGAAGTGGTTGCGGGGAAGCAGCCAGAACAGGATAGGTGGGGGAGAGGGGCGCTGGGATTGGGGACAAAGAAGTATCAGGGAGGGTCGTGAACGTCAGGTTGGATGGGGTGGGAGGAAGAAGCAACTGGGAAGGGGGCTGATGCGGAGAAGGAAGCAGGTCTGGCTGAGTCCGAAGCACCTATGGGACAATCCGGTGGAGCTGTCAGGGGAGCCAGAAAGAACCGAGTTGTCATCAGCTCTGAGGTGGCCACTAGGCTTCGAGAGAGGTTGGGATTTCTCTTTAGGAAAGTATAGAGACCAGAAGAGGTGGCTCATGCCTGTAATCCCAGCACTTTGCAAGGCCAAGGCAAGGGGATTGCTTGAGCCCAGGAGTTCAAGACCAGCCTGGTGAACACAGCGAGATCCCATCTATACAAAAAATGTTTAAAAATTTAGCCGGGTGCATTGGCAGGCACCTGTGGTCGCAGCTACTGGAGAGGCTAACCCTTGAGCCCAGAAGGTTGAGGCAGTGAACTGTGATCACACCACTGCACTCCAACCTGGGCAACAGAACAAGACCCTGTCTCAAAAAAAAAACAGGGTAGAGGACAAAATGATGTGCCAGAAAGAAGGGACAAGCCAGCAGTATGGTAGGCCTGTGGCATCTGCCCAGGTAAGATATGCTGCTAACACTGTTCCCAACACTGTCGCTAGACAGAGGCCTGATGGTCACTTGAGAAAGGAATCAAGTGTGCCACACATCAGCATCTATAAGCCCTCTATGAAGGTAGTTCTATCTGTTGATCACAATAAAAAAGCGATTGTGGATGAATTCATTCCGGCTTCAGATGAATCATGCTACAGGTGGCCCCTCAGCCCATTGGCTGGAAACACTGCTTGGGAGACTAAAGATCGGAGCTTTTGAAGCCCGGTTCTCTTCAGAGCCCCAGGGGAGGAGCAGGGGAGCCATCTGGCCCTAGGCGAGGCTGTCTCCCCTTCCCACCTTGTCTGTCAGTGAGGCCTTATGTCTCTGATGCTCTTAATCCCTTTCTTCTCTACCCAGGCCCCTTCGATGGCCACATACCAGGTGGTGGAGCTGCGGATCCTGACTAACTGGGGCCACCCTGAGTACACCTGCATCTACCGCTTCAGAGTGCATGGGGAGCCTGCCCACTAGCCCCGCTTTCTGGTGCCTGCTGCCAGCCATCTGGGAGTGGGTGAACAGCACCCCACCGCTTCCCCCACACGCTTGCTCGGCGCTCTGACTTCCAGGAGCACAAGAGAGGAGCCTGTGGCCCCATGCAGATGAGAAGGATGGGCAGAGTCTACTGAGCAGCAGCTGGCTCGAGGAGGTCAGCAGGAACCAGCAGCTTCCTTCTTCCTTCCCTCCGTGCCCGTGGCGTCTGCTTCCCATCCTGGGAGTGTGTATATATGTAGCATATCATGGGGGTCTGGGACGTTGGGAGAGGTGAGACCTGACTGGTGTTGCCTGGTGTTGGGGGCTGGTGCCTGGGAGCTGCTGCAGGGAGGCCTATGGATGAAGCAGGTGCCAGGGCTGTGGGAGGGGCGAGCTAGTGCCTAGACTAGGTGAGCTGCCTCTGCCCCAGGGCAGGGAAGTGAGGCCCTCTGGGAGGAGGGTGCTCAGCTCCAGGGCAGGATGGGACTTTCCCCAGGTAGGAAGCGCCTGATGTAGAGCTACCCAGCTCTCCTACAAGTTTAGTGCCCTCCACCTAGGGAAGCCTGAACCACAGGGTGCCTGAGGGGCTTCGACAAAAAGTGTTTGTCCCGGGTAGAGTAGCAGCGCACCATGGCGCTTCTTGTGCCTGAGGGGCTTCGACAAAAAGTGTTTGTCCCGGGTAGAGTAGCAGTGCGCCACGGCGCTTCTTGTACCCTAAAGGGGACTGGCTCCTGTGATCTTCTAAGGGGCCCAGGGCCAACCCTGTAGGCTTCCCCTCTGCTGGGGACAGTAGTTGCTTTTCTCTCTCCTGATGCTGGGTTGGGAGCACCCTGCTCCCCATTCCTGCCAGGACCTGCCAGTGCCCAAGCTTGCTTTCCACATTCTCCTGGGATACAGAGACCTAGACCTGTCTTTGGGGCCATTAGCATCTGAGCATGGAACTCCTGGGCTCTCGTGGGGACGTTCAGGGTATCGGGGTGGGAGGTCTGTCTGCACTGGCCCCCCCGACCTAACCAGGCCCTGATGTAGGGGCCCTCTGCTCAGGCTGCCCCCTTGGGCTCTTGCAGCTCTTGTTCAGGTAGTGGCCCTTCTGGTTTGTTCTCTGTGGGGCAGTTGGTGGGGGCTGGGGGGAGAAGTGGCAGAAGTTACCCTGGGTAGGGAAGGGGGAGGAGGGGACTTTTAGAGCCAGCAGGCCCCACTGTATTATGTATATATTTTTCAAGGTCTGTTTTTCTAACTGAAAAGCTAAGGGCTTGATTCCTAGCCCCGTTCTGTGGGGCACTGGGTGATACTCAGTTTCTTGTTCCTGGTCATGGAGAGGGGCCTGGGGCACTGGTTCCAGCTGTGTCTGGTGGTCCCGCCGCGGGGAAGGGGCAAAAAGGCAGGCAGGCCCCTTCACTGCAGTGCCGAGCCTCAAATCCACTCTGGAGCATGAGGCTGGATGCAGTGGTGGTGAGGCTGCCCCTGCTCCATCCCGAGGCAGCCAGGCTTTGTTTTGCGCTCTTCTGTCACAAATGCTGCACTATTGGTTCTTAAGTTTTTTATCTCCAGATCCTAATTTATGCCTATGCAAAAAATAAATGATGCCCAAGAGCTGTGGGATGTGGCCTACATGTGGCTTTTGCATATTACCTAGGGCACCTGCTCTTGGGCAGATGAGGAAATGACCTTTGCACATCACCTAGGGCAGCTGCTCTTGGGCAGATGAGGAAATGAATTCTTGGCCCAACGAATGTCCCCAAAGACTTATTCCTAAAGTTCAGACACCCACAACTTTCAGCTAAAGCCCAGTTGTGGTGGGGGCGGGGCCTGACGCAGGCCTCCTCCAGTGTCTGTGGGTCAAGGGCTGGCATGAGGAAGAAGTGAGGTGGCTTTATTAGCTGTCATTGATAACCCCATCACAAACGGTGTGGCGGGGTGGCGGGGGCGGGGTGCCTTCCTGTCTCTCAGTGCCACTGAACAGCAGCAGAAAAAGTTACACTTACCTACCGGCCATGTCCACTTGGAGTACGGTGATTCTCCTCCATGGGAATTCGCTGTTTGCTTCTTGGACCTGTGGCTGGGAAGGGACAAGGAGGTAGGTCCCTTGAACAGCCAGCAGCTGCCAAGTCGAGGAGAAAAACAGGCCCTGACCTTTCCCACAGATAGCTCCCCAGACCTGGTTCGGGTGGTTCTATAGCCTGACCCTGGAGCCTCTCACACTGTGGTACCTGGCCCAGGGCTGCTCCTCCTCATGGCTGAGAAAACAAAGCCAGGAACCCAGTCAGTAGGGAAGGCTATGGAGATAGCCACAAGAGAGGAGCTGGGTGGGGCACAAATCCAGCCCCCAAAGCCTTGGCCAATGCCTCAGCTTCTTGGGAGACAGCTGGTCCTGTGCTCACTCCCCTTCCCTAATACCTGCTCTGCTTCTGGCGCCATCTCAACAAAGGAGACGTCCCCGTGCAGCACCAATAAGCAAGCCCCTGAAAGTTGCCACACACTGTGGCAAGAGCCCAGAGCCTGGGCTGGCACGTGCCCTCTGCCCATCTGTACATACAAATCCTACTGGGTCCTCACAGCACAGCCCTCACACTGCTGGCTCCACAGTACTTCCCCCAACCCAACTAAATTTATGCTGCCCCTGTGCGTGGCATATTCATTCCTGTGACCTTCTCTGTGCCAGGGTGGCCGATAAGCCAGAACAGTCCTGACTATGGAGTCAGGGGTCTGGACATCCCCATCCCACCACCAATCACAGGCCTTACTCCTGGGAAGGACGCCACAAACACCTGCTGCACACACAGAAGGGTCAGGCCTTGCCATTCGAGGTGATTGGATTAACAATTTTATTCTGCATCCACTACAAAAGGGCTGGTGTTTTGTTCCAAATGTTTAGCTGGGAGGGCTGTAGGGACCCCGCTACCCCCGTTAAACACAGTAAAGCATGGATCCAGTCAGCCCCCTGCTGGCAGGTGTGGGCCTGGCAGCTACACAAATCCAACCCCACCCTCCTGAGTGCAGCCAGAGGCCAAGGTGGTCGCCAGAGCTCCTGAATCCCAAGAATGGTTCTGGCAAGTACTGCTGCTTGTAGGGGCAAAGAGTTAAAATGAGGTTCTGCCATGGCTAAGCCTTGTGGAAACCCAGACCCCACAGCCCCTCCCATGCGGGGGGCTCAATGCCAGAGTCTTGTTATGGAGGTACCAGCAAGTAGTGGCCCTGTAAGCAGGGCCAGAGTCAGGACAGACAGCAGGAGGGAAGCAGCCTAGAGACAGAGGACTGGGCTGGGGCCAGCGGACACGCAGGAGCCTGCCTGGGAAAAGCCGGGGGACAAGGCTGGCCGGGAATGTACACCTGCTGGTGACACTTCTGAGCTTCAGTTCCCTTAACTAGAAAAACAGAACAGGCCCGGTGCAGTGGCTCACACCTGTAATGCCAAAACTTTGGGAGGCTGAGGCAGGCGGATCACAAGGTCAGGAGACCGAGACCATCCTGGCTGACATGGTGAAACCCTGTCTCTACTAAAATACAAAAAGTTAGCTGGGTGTGATGGCGGGCGCCTGTAGTCCCAGCTACTCAGGAGGTTGAGGCAGAATCGCTTGAACCCGGGAGGTGAAGGTTGCAGTGAGCAGAGATCATGCCACTGCACTCCAGCCTGGCAACAGAGCGAGACTCAGTCTCAAACAAAAAGAAAAAGAAAAACACAACATCAACCTCAGGGGCAGTTGCTGGGAATGTCAACAGGAGCGTGCGAGACCCCTGGCAGTCTCAGCCACAGCTCTCCTTTCGAGCCTGCCCAGGGCACAGAGGTGGCAGGGTGGCTAACGGCGTGCAGACCACTCACTGAGCAAGCCCTTCCTGTGTGCAGCACACCCCAGGGCCTCACATTCTCTGAATCCAGACAACCTTGATGTATGGCTTTGCCTCTTGTAGATGAGAAAACTGAGGTTCAGAGAAGGTTGGTAAGCTTGTCCCGTGTCACCAGCTGGTGAGGGAGCCTGAACATGGAAGCCACGCCTGCCTGACCGGGGAAGCTGGGCTCCTCACAGCACTACCCTGCTCCCAGCTGTTGCCAGGGGCCCCAGGGCAGGCAGAGCAACTGCGTTCCCGTGGCAGCACCTCCACCTGGAGGGGCTGGGCAGGGAGCACCACACTGTCAACTTGGAACAAACTTTTATTTTGAATGCTGGTCTGATCAGTCCATGGCCAGGGGTAGGTGGTAACTAGAAACAGCTGGAAGGAGGGGAGGAGAGGGGACCAGCAGTCTGCAAGCAGGAGGAAAGGAAAGGGGGACAGGAGGAGGCAAGGCTGAGGAACGACCCAGCCAGCTGGGTGTCTGCCCCGGCTAGAGAAGGAACCACCCCCGCCCACCAGCCTACCCTACATCTGTAGCTTCAGTGCAGAGGTCAGTCCAGGTGGGTTCAGGCCCATGCCCCCTTCTCTGGCCTGCACAGTCCCACCCCAGGCAGGGGTTCTTCCAGAGGGCTAAATGCTCTGTGCTAACCCTGGAAGTGTCTTTTCACTAACCCCTACCTGCCCTCCCCACGCTCCAGTTGTCTTTTAAACCTGGAGCCCAGGCCTCATTACTGTGCTCCTGTAGCAGCCACGGGGGTGACATGATGGGGAAGATGGGGTTTTAGTCTCAGCCTAGCTCAGGGGAACATCCCTCCACCCCTCCAACAGGAGGTGCTAGAAAACATGATCCTGAGCAGACCCAGACACCCTTTTGGTAACCAGTGCCTGAGGCCCAACAAGAAGCGGGATGAGGGGAGGCTCCAGGCCGGGCAGATCAGCAAAAGCTGAGGGCAGCCAGGGCTGGCCCAGGCAAACACAGGATTGTCTCCAAGGGGAAACCCACCAGCTGTCTTTGGGTCGGTGGCCAGGGCCAGGGCCAGGGCCAGGGCCAGGGCCAGGGTCAGGGTCAGGGTCAGAGCCCGGGCCCGGGATGGGGAGAGTCCTACAATCCCATCACTACTCCCCTCCACGTGTCTCCAGGTTATAACCAGAGAGCTTTTGGCATGACCTGTTTGGGGGCTTAAAGGGAAAAAGGAGGAGAGAGAAAAGGAGAAGCCACTACTTTCTCTCTGTTAAAATGCCCAAGTCCTAGACTGGGGGTTCCTGCTCTGGCAGCAGCAGACACCAAATCCCAGAAGCCCCTCCACCCAGTCTGTCTCCATGGAAGGGGCCCCTGAGTGCCAAGAGGAGCAGCCAGATAGGAGAGCGGCTCCTTCCCCTCCTGACATCCCCTGACGGCCCCGAGGATTCTCAAAGAGACAGACATGCAGACAGGCAGCCATGGAGGAGAAAAGAGGCTGATATGGCCCTGGGGGTGGCACTCCTGCACCACACACACACACAGACACACAATAGAGAGAGACAGAGACGTATAATAAACAGAATAAAAACTAAGGGCCCAGATGTACAAAAAATGTGAGAGTGAGGAAGAAGAAGGTGGGGAGGACAGTGGGAGATGGTCAGTCCTCCAGGTCTGGCTGCCTTCCTCAGCTTATAAATTACAACCCCCTTGGAAAATGGGGGTGGGGGCAATGCGGAGGCTCCGGCTGTGGCCTGAGCAGGAGGGCTGGGTGGCGGTCATAGCTGCTCTGCCCATCTGGTGGAGCGGTGGCCAGAGTATGATGACCCCTTGGGTGGTGGGGATGGGCCAGAAGGTTCAGCAGCCGCTGGCAGGAGTCACACAGGCCCCCTGGGACTTCACCTTGTGGCGCTGGCCCCCTCGTCGCCGGCCTCCACTGCTGGGCTTGGGCTGAAAGAGAGAGAAGGAGCTTGAGAAGCACTGGCCCATCGGGAGCAGGGCCAGAGAGCAGAGGGGCTGAGCAGCAGGGAGAGGGGGACGGAAGATGCATGAGCAGGCAGCGTGGTCTGTCTTCACCCCAGCCTGCTCAGGAATTTCCTTGGCCACTCTGCATGCAACACCTCCCCTCTGTCTCTAAAATAGAGCCAGTGCCTGCCCTGCCTTCCTAACAGGGTGGGTAGGACACATGTGATGAGGGTGTGAGAAGCGGATGTTCAGAGAAGCACAAAGCAGAGCAGGAGAGACAGAAAGGAAGCAAACGAACCAGAGGAAAGACGCAATAGGAGACAGATAACAGAATGGAGACAGATCCAGGCATAGCCTCCTTTTCCAATGAGGGGACAACGGAGAAAGATGCTGGGGAGAGAGGTGCAAGGGGCACCAGGCCTTCATCACGCCAGGAGAGTGCCTGCAGGAGACAGCTGGCAGGAAAGGCCGAGTAAGAGGCTCACTGGCACATCCCAAGGCCACCTGCCCTTCAGGATGTGTGCACGTCAGGGACGGGACAGAGGAGGACCCTCTAAGGCAGTGTCTCTCAAACCTGCTGGACTGCAGTGCACACATATATCACCTGGACACTCACACCAGCAATACTTGCAAGACTTACTACGAAAGGGAAGCTTTGACATTTTTCTGTTCTGTTTTATTTCATTAAAACCAAATGCTAGTTAGGGCCAATTAAACTGGTTTCAGGTGGGCTGTATTCCCTGATTTGGAAAGCACTGCCTTATAGCTTCTAGAGACAAATGCCTCACACTTAGGAGCACTTCAGTGCCAGAGTTGTTGAGGAGACCTTGTAGCCAAGCTTGAGGCTTGCCTACAT